GAGCGGTTCTCTCTGCAGCATCCTCGTAAGGAGCCTCATTCCAAGGTCTACAAAATAAAATAATCAATACAAGTAAGAAATCTATGCTGAAGATAGGATAATTGACTGAGCATGCCATGGAAGTGCAGTAGAAAGGACGAAAATCGAATAGATTAATTTACCTTTCTGGAGCAGTAGAAAAGAGTCCATCAAGCTCATAAGGTTGCAGCGCTCCATCCTAAATTTTCCAAGGTGTATTCCGAGATCCGATAATTGTATGTTAGTAGCGAAAAAACACAACCTATGCATTAAGTACGAATATTACACTGAAATGTATAGAACAAGAATTTGACATACATTGTCAGTGTCAAATAGTCGGAAGATTCCCCTGAGAAACTCCACGGCTTCACTTGTCAGCTCCATGGTCTACAAAATAAGATCTTAAATGAAAAATTCTTCTAATGATGCAGAAAAGAATTATGAAAAGTAGAATATAGAATCAAAACCTTTAACTATAATACATCAGATTACGGTTGGACAAAAGCCATCATTAGAAATCCGACTACTATGAAATTAGAAGAAATATCAAATGCGGGTCATTGACAAGACAAGACATGTGTTATACATGGAAACAAATAACGATTCCATGGCAACTCGCAATTTAAAATCAATACAAGGACCACAAATATCATGTAGCAGGCATGTCAATATTAAATACTTAGGATAATAACCAAGCTTATTATTTGATACTTAGACAAAACACACAATATGGCATAGGTCCTTTTTCGTAACATCCTGTACCTTGAAGATATACAATAATCAATTATAGTTCAAGAGAATGACTTGATTATATAGAAGGTAAATTACAACCCAATGTCGTTGCAGCGAAATATCAAATTAGTAACCTGATCAGGATAACGCTTAGATGGAACAGGAAGAAAATCATCTCTGAGTTTTAAATCATTGTTGTATCCAAATTTCCTGAGGACAGCCCAAGTTGTCTCAAGGCGCCCTTTTTCTATGAAAAGAGCATGTAGAAAAAGGAACCCTGTAAGAGTAAGACCAAGCTCATTGACTCCATCTGGTAATTTCTCTTGTACAACCCTTTTAACGCCCACAATTTCAGCAGGTTGTAATGGAGCATTGAAACATTTAACCTGTTCCGTTTAAAAAATAAATAAATACATAAACAACACTTATAATAGCAATAATATATGAAGAATTTCAAAATACCAAAGGAAAATTAACGATAAACCATTATAAACAAGCAAATGAAGGAGAAGAAACCTGAAATTCATTCAGCTCTTCATCATTGAGGGCACCATCCATGTCACGATCACAAAGGATAAATATCCTCCTTAATGCACTAATGCATTTTGGTTGCAACGTTTGTCTTTCTTGATCAAACAACGGGGCTGTTGGGTGAAGTACTGCTTTTTGAGCATAATAGAAAACTTCAGGGACCTAGAATGAAGCAATAGTGTTCAAACTTTGATCACGTAACGTTAAAACCAGGAATCAAGAAGAAGAATCACTATCAAGAACTAAAGTTGTCACCTTTTCACCCTTTGATAATTAAATCAAGGTCGTTAGATGATGCATCAATGGGAATAGTTGATAAAACGTACTAAAGCATAAAACAAGGAATACCAATATTATTGAGTTGCCTTAGTCTGCCATGCAGCATGCTTTGTTGCTTTTTCACCAGACAAAGAAAGATGCGCTTCTTAACTTCTCTATTTTCCCTTCCAAAAAAAGGGGTGGAAAAATTAAACAAGAATCTCTATATCGCCTCTGTGAATTAGGTTTTCATTTCACCATCACAGATATGGTAAGGCACACAACGTACTTGGTACTAACAATGCTGGCACTCCTTTTTCAAAAGCTAATACAATGTAAATCTAACAACAAAGAAAAACTAAATAACCACTCAATCAAAATTACAGAGTTCGAGCATCTATTTGACCTTCTGAAGGCCCGGCTCAACACACTGATCAAATTATGCATATCATCTGTTGTCACCCATATTTAAGAGAGCTAGTGAGAGAGAGAGAGAGAGAGAGAACAAGCAACAAATTGTGTAGGAATTTCATTATACCTGAATCAGTGTAGCTGCAGAGCATTCTATACAAGTTTCTATTTCCCTGAACTGTAGCATAATTGGTGTCATAACCTGCTCTATGGTTGCTGTGTCACGCTCATCCCGTAAATCCAACTTGCAACCAACTACAATAACCGGCACCTTAACCTATCCATTTGTAAGAACAAGAAGAAAAAACCTAACTCGTTTGTCGATTAAGGCAAACTGTTTCAAGAAAACAAAGTCATTGAACAAGAGCATGATTACAAACCTCTAACTGACGAAGTTCAGGAAGCCAGTAAGTACGAATACGAGTAAGCGTGACCGGTTGATCACAAGCATATGTTAACACCACAGCATCAGCTCGCTTCAACTCTTCATTGCGCCTACCTCTACTCTCCGAGCTAGCATTATAGAGTACCAGATAAATATCAACTTTGAATTTATGCTATACATGCTGAGAGGGAAATAAATTTAAAGTCAAGTGACTTTTTTCTTCTGCTCAAACAAAGAATTATATTCCTTTTACAAGCCTCAATTGAACAGTACTGTTATAGAAGTTGCAAATCAGACTATTATCAGCTTCATATTAGACAGTTAAGGCATGTTTCATCCATATAATTCTGCAGTAAGGAAAAAGAACGATATGGCTGTCAAATCAAACACGAATAAAGCTGGAATCGCAATCAATACGCATTGACGCGACTTCAGAAGCGTCAGGGCAAAATGAGATTAAAATCCAACTCACTCAGTATCACATTCGTACGTATAGGTATATATGTAGAGCATGCATATACGATGTATTATACGCAGACGGACCTGGAAGAGGTGTCGATGATGGTGACCGGAACGAAATCGGGGAAGAAATCGGCGGGAAGCCGAGTCGGAGGGAGCACGGGAGGGACGTTCTCGGGGAACGATTCCGAAGCAGCGGTGACGATCAAGCTCGACTTTCCGGTGCCGCGATCGCCGGCGACTACGACACGGACACCGGGCCGGGCACCGGAGGTGGAGTATCCGGCGAAGCCGCCTGACATTGGCGAATAGGGAATGATGAGACGGAGAAGACGCGAAGAGCGAGTATTGGGGAGAGGGTTTTGAGGTACTGCTATTGCGATTGACTTTTTTCTTTTTCTTAATTTGCGATTAGTAGTACTTTTTTAATAAAATTTGCGATTATTAACACCTAACGGTGTATTTTTTTTTTTTTTTTTGAAAAATAGTAGAAAATAGGTTAATATAAAAAGTTTAAGAAAGTATATAGGTTAATTTTTAGTTATAGAAATTAATAGGTCATAATATGTCAAGTTATAGTTCATAATCAGATAAGTTATGGACAAACTTGTCAAGTTATGATTCATAACCAGACAAGTTATGGACAATTATAAACAATAACTTGTCAAGTTATGGTTCATAATCAGATAAGTTATGGACAAACTTGTCAAGTTATGATTCATAACCAGACAAGTTATAGACGAAAACAGTAATTTGGCCTATTTATTAACTTATATAAACTATTGACTTATTAATTTTAATTCATCTCAAGTCTTGGCCTATTTCCATCTTTCTCCCTTTTTTTTCTCTTCTTTTTGGCGGAAAATGAACAGTGTGTTGTAAATCAATTACATTGGATGCAACATCTTCGTATTCCATAACCTACATAGATATGAAGTCACTCATTTAAATCTCATTATTTCCCCTCTTAATTTTGTGTATTATTCTCCGTAACTCCTCCTTAATATTGCATGTCTTCTCTTATGACCTCTAGTTATGATCCTTAGGCTATAAATAGAGAAGCTATTTGCTTGTATGGATACTATTTACGAGCAAGAATACAAAGCTTTCTTGTCTCTCATATGCTCTCTTGTTCTTTTAGTTTCTTGCAATTATAGTTTTTACTACTATTTTATAACACGTTTTCAGCACGAGTTCTACCTTAATCTCTTTCAGTGTTCCTAACTCCTTCATTTCCACGTATTTCTGTTTGTGAAGGTAGTCCGTTTATTCTATTGATCATACATGTTATATTCATGTTCTCCTTCTACGTTTCTTTGCTCTCGTTTTCTTTCTTCTCATATGTATATGTTTATGTATTATATATATACTTTAATAATACTACAGATTTACATGTACATATTTATTCAGCCTTTAGAATTTATACTGAGTACTATTTTATTGCAATCAGTTTTATATACCATTCAATTTTTGTTAATATGTATCTGGTTATATATTTGTAGAATTACTATGATTATTCTCACCATTAACTTAAATGTAATTATGTGAAGTTTTTCCGTTGGTTTTTTTTTAATATATATGTGTGATTGGTTTTTAACTTGTTCATATTATTTATGTCTACTAGTACAACATTGCCTCACCAGTTTCATTATATTATTTTTCATGTTATTATACTCTATTGTTGTGCCCGTTCGATTTAGTTAATTCACATGTACTATATTTTCTTTCATTGTTATAATTATTGTTGTGCCCGGTTGTCAGTTTCTATTCCTAATATTTGATATTCATATATTTTAAACCTTTTGATTGATTATAAATTATCATTTAAATTCTTATTGACTTTATTTTTGTCATATAATAGTTTCACAATGTCGAATCTTAAGGTCCGTTTAGTTCATTGATTCGAGTTTTTAATTCGAGTTGAGATGTGACTTTATGTGAGAGCTTTTTACTGTAGCAAAAAAGTTAGATGTGATTGTTTGTGAGATTTTTTTTTTTTTTTTTGAAAAATAGTAGAAAATAGGTTAATATAAAAAGTTTAAGAAAGTATATAGGTTAATTTTTAGTTATAGAAATTAATAGGTCATAATTTGTCAAGTTATGGTTCATAATCAGATAAGTTATGGACAAACTTGTCAAGTTATGATTCATAACCAGACAAGTTATGGACAATTATAAACAATAACTTGTCAAGTTATGGTTCATAACCAGACAAGTTATAGACGAAAACAGTAATTTGGCCTATTTATTAACTTATATAAACTATTGACTTATTAATTTTAATTCATCTCAAGTCTTGGCCTATTTCCATCTTTCTCCCTTTTTTTTCTCTTCTTTTTGGCGGAAAATGAACAGTGTGTTGTAAATCAATTACATTGGATGCAACATCTTCGTATTCCATAACCTACATAGATATGAAGTCACTCATTTAAATCTCATTATTTCCCCTCTTAATTTTGTGTATTATTCTCCGTAACTCCTCCTTAATATTGCATGTCTTCTCTTATGACCTCTAGTTATGATCCTTAGGCTATAAATAGATAAGCTATTTGCTTGTATGGATACTATTTACGAGCAAGAATACAAAGCTTTCTTGTCTCTCATATGCTCTCTTGTTCTTTTAGTTTCTTGCAATTATAGTTTTTACTACTATTTTATAACACGTTTTCAGCACGGTTTAAAATTACTTCTCAATTAAAGTTATGCGGAGAAAGTGTTAAAAAAACGTATTCTACTTTTCATGCCTCTAATATGCTCCTGCAACAACAGTATCGAGAGCGATGCTTTAAAAAATATTCTGAGTTAATTTCATGTCTGCTTGTTGCCGAGCAAAATAATGAACTATTGATGAAAAATCATCAATCCTGTCCAACTGGATCAACGCCATTTCCTGAAGCGAATGCTGCATCTGTTGATGATTTTGGGCATGGTCAACGTCACGGTCGAGGTCATGGACGCGGACGTGGACGCGGACGCGGACGCGGACGCGGTGCTCTCGTTTTCTTTCTTCTCATATGTATATGTTTATGTATTATATATATACTTTAATAATACTACAGATTTACATGTACATATTTATTCAGCCTTTAGAATTTATACTGAGTACTATTTTATTGCAATCAGTTTTATATACCATTCAATTTTTGTTAATATGTATCTGGTTATATATTTGTAGAATTACTATGATTATTCTCACCATTAACTTAAATGTAATTATGTGAAGTTTTTCCGTTGGTTTTTTTTTAATATATATGTGTGATTGGTTTTTAACTTGTTCATATTATTTATGTCTACTAGTACAACATTGCCTCACCAGTTTCATTATATTATTTTTCATGTTATTATACTCTATTGTTGTGCCCGTTCGATTTAGTTAATTCACATGTACTATATTTTCTTTCATTGTTATAATTATTGTTGTGCCCGGTTGTCAGTTTCTATTCCTAATATTTGATATTCATATATTTTAAACCTTTTGATTGATTATAAATTATCATTTAAATTCTTATTGACTTTATTTTTGTCATATAATATTTTCACAATGTCGAATCTTAAGGTCCGTTTAGTTCATTGATTCGAGTTTTTAATTCGAGTTGAGATGTGACTTTATGTGAGAGCTTTTTACTGTAGCAAAAAAGTTAGATGTGATTGTTTGTGAGAGCTTTTTACTGTAGAAAAACTCGAATTCTAAACTCGAATCAACGAAATGAATGGGACCTTACAAAGCTTGAGTTTGTTGCCCTTGATATTTCTGGCAACAACTATTTAGCTTGGACTCTTGATGCTGAGATCCACCTAGATGCTATGAATCTTGGAGAAACAATTAAAGAAGGAAATGAAGCATCTTCACAGGATCGCGCGAAGGCGATGATATTCCTTCGTCATCATCTCCATGAAGGATTGAAAATTGAATATTTGACGGTAAAAGATCCATATGTCCTGTGGAGTAATTAGAAAGAAAGGTATGACCACCAAAAACCGTAATACTTCCAAATGCTCGCTATAATTGGATGCACCTATGTTTACAAGACTTTAAAAGTGTAAGCGAGTATAATTCCGCAATGTTTAAAATTACTTCTCAATTAAAGTTATGCGGAGAAAGTGTTAAAAAAACGTATTCTACTTTTCATGCCTCTAATATGCTCCTGCAACAACAGTATCGAGAGCGATGCTTTAAAAAATATTCTGAGTTAATTTCATGTCTGCTTGTTGCCGAGCAAAATAATGAACTATTGATGAAAAATCATCAATCCTGTCCAACTGGATCAACGCCATTTCCTGAAGCGAATGCTGCATCTGTTGATGATTTTGGGCATGGTCAACGTCACGGTCGAGGTCATGGACGCGGACGTGGACGCGGACGCGGACGCGGACGCGGACGCGGACGCGGTCGTGGTCGTGGTTATGGTCGTGGTTATAATAACCAAAACTCTTCAAATTTCAAGAAGACCACATCTCACCACCAGAAGTGGGAGAATAAAGAGGAAAAACAAGAAGAAAGTGGTTCTCAAAATAAAGCCTCCAAGAATAATGAAGATGTTTGTCATAAGTGTGGCATGAGAGGACATTGGCGACGCACATATCGCACGGCTAAACATTTTGTTGATCTTTATCAAGCATCATTGAAAGAAAAAGGAAAAGGTGTAGAAACAAACCTTGCTGAACACCCATGATCCCATGGACTTTTCGCACTTAGATGTCGCAGATTTCTTTGAGAATAATGATGGGAATTTTGAGAATTTAATTGGTGATGGAAACATCAATATAGCTTGAAAATGATGTTCTTGCACCATATTACCCTAAGTGTGTTATATTAAGGGGTGCTTTTATTTTTAGTGTGTTTTGTAATTTTCAGTGTGTTTTATTTTGGGCTTGTCTTGTAATTTTTGGTGTGTTTTTTTTATTTCTAGTGTGTTTTATTATAAAAAAAATATGATTGTGGTTTGTATGTTATATTCTCACAATTCTTTATTTTATTTTTATGAAGAAATATGGATTTCAATGATGACAAAGATGGTGCTAAAGTTAATGGTGAAGCCCTTTGCTTGGCAGACAGCGGAACAACGCACACCATTCTTAAAGATAAAAGATATTTTTCCCATCTTATATTAGCTGAAACTAATATTAACACAATATCTGGTGTTGCAAACCTTATTAAAGGTTCCGGAAGAGCTAATATGTTGTTACCCGGTGGCACAAAGCTTATAATTAACGACGCAATGTATTCAAGTAGATCAAAAAGAAATCTACTAAGTTTTAAAGATATTCGTCGTAATGGTTACCATGTTGAGACAACAAATGAGAAAGACGTTGAATATCTTTATATTACGTCTATTGTCTCTCGAAAGAAAAATATATTAGAAAAGCTACCATCAT